ATATTATGAAATATGCATCGAGATGATGTGAAAATTAGAAATTAAAGATTAGAAATTACGTTTCGCAGAAATATATATAGAAAAAAAAGAAATTAAAATGTTTTGGTTGCCATCGTATAATTTATTAGATATACGTTGCAGAAAGAGAGAGAGCCATTTTGAATGATCTCTTAAAAATTATATTTTATCTTTTACATGTCGAATAGTCGTTAAAAGTTTCGAATTATATGTGTAAATTTTTATTCTCTTTTCTCTTGTTTTAATAGCGTCGTTTAACACGCTGAGTGCCAAGCAAATTTTTAAGGAAATCCCAGTCAGGCCACGCGCGTAACTTACTATTGAAAAACCAGTTTAATGTCAGTCACCGGCGACTGATGCAGCCTAAACTAAAAGTTCAGTATCGGTCAGTACTGACACCGAAAGCTTTCCGTTCAGTTTAAGCCGCGTCAGTCGCCGGTGACTGACATTCAACTATTTATTTAATAGTAAGTAACGCGCGTGGCCTGACTGGGATTTCCTTAAAAATTTGCTTGCCATTCAACGTGTTAAAGTTATTCCTATCTGTCGATTTCTTAAACTGTGGTATTTTTACGAATTATTTTATTGATACGTCGTCTCGTATTTCTTAAGATTACGAAAAGAAGGATCAAAATAAAAATATTTTATTGTTACGACTCGTTATATTTTAATAAGAGTAAAAGAAATAGCGCATTATCGAATTTATTAAAGCTTTGGATATAATTTTTCTTAAGGCGTAATACGTGCAAGTGAAAAATACTTAATGTGATTTCAAAACCAGAGTAAATTGAAAATGATAAAAAAATATATACGATTGTTGATTATATTTAGTTCTCTTTTGTTTTCTAATATCTTAATATATATTGAATATATTTAAAGATATATCGCGTGTATATATTTCGTATATAAGATGATCGTAGATATTTAAAGGCTGGTGGTTTGTTTTTTAATATGAATGTGATTGAAATTGTTCATTAACGTTATTTTACAATTAAATTGTCCCAAAAATAAAAAAGAAAAATGATTTTTTTCGATCGATATTCGATTTATATATACGATCGACATTTGACGCGTCGTACTTCGTTGCATTTTCTTCCAATTGAAAAAAAGTTATAAAGTTATAATCTCTGTAAAACACATTCGTGAGGTACTCTGAATATGTACACGTACATACATAGAAAAGAAAAAAGAGAGTGGGAGATAAAAATGAGAGCAAACGTGAGAAAGAGAGAGAGAGAGAGAGAGAGAGAGAGAGAAAGAGAGAGAGAGAGAAAGAGAGAGAGAGAGAGAGAGAGAAAGAGAGTGGAAGAGCAAGCGAGAGAGAAAGAGACATGTACTCATCTTTACACTTATGTACATATACCTACGTATACAGAGTTAATACAAATACGTAAGTAAATGTACGTGTACTGCCGCTTGCGTGTCTCTTACGTGTGTTTGTTTGTCGAGTGAGTGCATGGGCGCATCCGATTCGCGTGGGCGTTCGTAAATTCGCGCGCCCGTACGCGCGTGTCGTAGCGAATTACGTCATATAGGTAGATCATATGTGCTTTCTAATGATGAATAATTTTATAAATATAAATATAATACCGATTTTACCGTTTATCATTTATTTCGGGCACGAATCTCTACTACAATTACTTTATCGACTCATTCTCTGTCCTTTTGTTTTTTTCACTTTGTTTTTGTCTTTTCTTTCAAAGCATATTTATTTTTAATAATAGAAAAAAAAATATAAACTTTTTTCATTATGTGCTCGAGAAAAGAAGAGATAACTTTTTTGACAGATCTATAATTAACTTTATCTTCCACATTTAGGATAGATGAAAATTTTCGATAAATAGATGTGATAATACTAAATCGCATATATTTACAATCTTCTTTATTATAAGTGATTTGAAACAATTCTTGGTTGCAAAATTAAATCTATAAGAAAACATAATTGATACGTTTTCACTGTAAACGAATACGAAAAATATGTAAAGGGAATAACTTAAAGAAAATATTTTTATTTGCTGTGATAACTGTAAATAGTTCTATATTATTAACGATTAAATTTAATTATTTTATCATATTCGTGAATATTGCTATTGAATTGATATTCATTGCGTCAATTTTTTTGCGACAGAACATTATTAGGTTATTCTTTTTAGTTGGCATAATTTTAATTTTACATTTGAACTTCGTGCCTAACAAATTTTTTACTATAAGTAATTGCCTTGATATATTAATCTAGATATATATCATCGATAAAAATGCCTAATTTATTTAACTTCCAGTAATAAAATAAAAAATTAAAATCAAACTTTTGACTTTTTTTCCAATTTCCAATAGAAAATCCAGATTTTCTGGAAGTCGAATTGAAATTGCCCACCCGGTATAAGAATATAAAAATTAATTCCTTGTGTCGCAAAAATAAGAGAAATGTAATGGGAGAGCATGATGGTACAGGAGGTAGAAGAGGTCTATGAGATGAGTTTGGGTTGTCCTACAATTAGAACGCTCATTGGTTGGTTATTACCCAATAAGCTTTTAATAAACGCCCAACATCATAAATATTGGTCACTTATTAAAAAATTAATTTAATTAACTACAAGACATAAATTGTAAACATTTAGATAATCGAAATACTCTACAGACTCCAAATAATAGTATGATATCATAAAAGTTTATATAAAAATGCTTTAGAAAATATTATTTTATAAATAATTATCATGCCCTATTAACCCAGATTTTGGTCACTCATTAAAAATTAATTTAATTAACTTCCAGACATAAATTGTGAACATTTAGACAATCGAAATACTTTACAGATTCCAAAGAATAGTATGATATCATAAAAGTTTATAAAAACTTAATATACTCCATGAGAAAATTTATTCTGCTGAAAACAAGACGCAGTTAGCCATCAGTTTGCGAAAAAACTGATGGTAACTTACCAGTCGGTAATACGAGATCTGATGGTAAGTAATTACATCAGAACGGTATCTTTCCATTTTCAATAAAAAAAAAAGAAAAAAAAAGTGACTTATGCCACTTTCAAAATAAACGGCTCATATTTTAAACTTTCTTATTTCCTAGTAACTTTTAATAGCAAGTAGTGTATACAAAGTGAATGTGTAATTAACTTCTATATATATTTAAAAACAAATAATTAGAAATCTAATATAGATGTTTTGTTTTAATTATTAATTAAAGGAGTTTACTCGTTAAGAACGATTGTCTTGGAACACGTACAAAAGAAAAGACTTACTAGATTAGAAAAAAACCGATATCATATTGAAGCTAGAAAGACCGGAGAGAAACAGACAAACGAAAAGTCAGCAATTGATTGAAAACAAAAAACAATAGAAAATTTCATTGCTTTGCTTAGAAATGAGAGAAAACGTTTTTGTTTATTTAATTATTAATAACTAAATAAATAATTAATTGATAAAGTGTGTAATTAAAGATTTTAAATGTGCAATTAATGTTCAAATAAGAGCACTTATTTATTTTTTTCTGCTGTTAAAGTTTCTTGCCAGCGTTCCTACGGTTTGGATTACGCATTTTCAAAAACTGTTTTACCATACGTAATAAAATCGTTTTTATCGACATTTCTATATTTTAATCTACGTTTAATTTTCATCAAGTACAGACATAACCTCTTTATACTGAGCATAAGAAAACCATATCCAGGAAAGATTAATAACGAATAATAAAAATGTCAAAAGATATAAAAGATAATACAACGTTGTCTGTGTTGTTCGATAGTGCATTTAAATCATTTAATAATATTATTAAAACAGATGAACCAATGAAAGCGTCAAATATACAGGTAATTAAAATAAATAACTATGTAATATTATTATTGTTTTTCTATTCTTATATATGAAAAATTCATGTTTAAATTAATTACTTGTTTAGTCAGACATCAAAAACCTAATTCACATGTTTGAGGAGTTAACAAAATTTGTATCTATGGTAGACATGTTTAGCCAAAATGAAACTGTCGATGAAATAGCAACAGAACATCTCAAATATCTTTTATTACCGGCTTTTCTTGGTACTCTAGTTACTAAAATATCTGGTACCAATGACAGAATGCATGTGATCAAAGTAGCGGAAATTTACTTTATTGATTTCCTAAAAAGAGCTAAGGCTTGTGGTATTACAGACATAAAAATTCCTGAAGCAAGTTTGGAACAAGAAAGTAGTAGTTCTTCTAACGCCGGAGTCAAAAGTAACGCTGAGATGATTACGAAGATGGTAATTTTTAATTTTATTAATTAACTTCAATAATAATCAATATAGATTGATTATTTACTTATCGATCATTTATATTCTTTAGGTTTCTTGTAGAAATACAAAATTACAAAGATATAGAGAACAAAAGGAATTGGAGTCTCGTTTAGAAATCTTGCAAGAAAACTTGGATAATCCAAACATTGATGATGAAAGTAAAAGGGAATATTTTATGGCACTTTTAAAATTATACGTAATACAAGCGATTGAGGAATTGAGTTCGATAGCAGCAGAGAAACCTATTTTGGAACACATGCAAAAGTTAGACCCTTCAGAAAAAATGATGCAGAAATTCATACCATCTGCTAATATACTTAAACCAATTATTATCACACGAAATGAACTGCAAAAGAAAGTTTATGGTGCTGGATATCCAAGTCTTCCAGTTCTAACGGTTCAAGAATTTTACGATCAAAGAGTTAAGGAAGGAGTGTAAGTTTCGGATTCTTTTTTCTTAATAAAACAAAAATAAATTAAACTTAAATGAAAAATAACTGAATTCTTTTCTTTTACAGTTTTCCTGATCCATCGAAACTTGATCGAATTAATTTCAAAGTTCTTCTAGATTGGATTAAAAGCAATGAAAATAAAAATACACAGGAAGATATTGAAAATATAGAAAAGGAAGAAAAGATAGAACAGGATGATCCAGAGCTTTTGGAACGAAACCGTGCTATGGATGAATACAAGGATACGCATCGTCGAGGATGGGGAAACCGTGCGAATAGAAGTTAAATCCAAAATTACGTACTAGTATAGATAATACAAAAAAATAAAATTATATAAGTAATAAATATTTCACTATAATATGTTGTGCATTACATTATATTCCGTTATACTATTTTATTTTATAAACTATTCTATTATATTGTATTAATGAAACAATGTTAATCGTGAATATTCATTAATTTATTTAAAAATAATATTAAATATCATTTGTCCATTGAAATCTACTTTGTAGTCTTCTAATCGATAAAGTAGGAATCCTGAAGTCATGGTATTTAGTGTATTGTTCATGGAAAGAAGTAATATCTTATTAAGTATTCAAGATTAGAAAAGTTATTGTGCTTATTGTACCCGATAATGTTTTATGTAAGACATATTTCTTTTCGTTTAATTTAATTATTATAATAATTTGTGGTTCATGAAAATATTCGATCAAATTTGATAAAACAAATTTCTTACCTCTCAATAATAATATTAACATTTTTAAATATTTATTTGTATGTATTTTTAAATATTTTCTTATTTCACTAAAAAAATGTGAAATAAATATTTAATAATAAATAATGAAATACTAATTATATATACAAATAATTTGTATAATTTAATACAGTTAGGTTAGATCAAGTGTCTGTATGTTTGTAAAATGTATATAAAATATAATGGCAATATATTAAATATATCTAAATTATTAATTTCTATTTGGATATACTTCAAATAGTAGTATTAGCATTAACTAATATTCCTTATATTTGATTAAAACATTTAGTTTATAGTTGTTGAATTTTAATATTATGCCTATTAGCATTGATGACGCAAAGATCTAAACTTTTGAAACAATTATTATCTATTAATAAATTCATAAGATTTGAAATTGAAGAATTTAATTATTACTTAACAAATGTTTTTAGATGTTGCATATTCTTGATTGTAAATAACACATTTCATATCTAATTTTAGAAGTTATAACAAGACTTGCACTTAATTAAATCATGAAATCCTTCATATGAAAAAAATTAGTTACAGACTAAACTCTGGAGATAAGCAATCATGCTCAATAAATGTAGTATTTATTATTTTTTAGATGTCACAATCTTCAACCAAAATTGTTTCATTGCGATGACCTGACGCAATCACTAAAAGGAGAATAATGATAGCAAAAGTCATAATGTTTTGATAAACTTACATGATATATTCTCATGTAAAATATTTAAGAAGAAAAGCCACATGAATAATTCAGTCAGTAGCAAATCACCAATCTTGAGTTGATCGAGTTTGGAATAAGAAAAGCGGAAAAAATGATCGATTGAATGTGCGTTTCAACATGTTACCAAGATTAAAAAGAAAATGTCGTTTTTATACGATAGTTATCATCACTATAATAACTATTGGAATATTTATAGCTTGGTCCAAAAATAAAGAAATATCTGGCAAACGGTCTAATGATTTTGTTCCTTTACGGTGTGTTATATTCTTTTTCAATATTAAACATTACATTTGATTATATTTAATTATTATTATTTATTTCTAGACTTCTGAATGATCGAAAAGATTATTTGGATCGTCAAGGTATTCATGTGGTAGTCGGTCATTACATAGGAGATTCTGTAGATCCATTAAAATCTCCTAATATAACTAAAGGTGAGTAAAATATTTTCATCGTTATCAAAGACTGTGAACAGTTACATATAATCTAAATATTTTTTCTTTCAGAAATTATTAATAAAAATATGTTTAATCCTCGACCATTTGAAGGAAGAAATGGGGAGCCAGTAATAATACCGTCTAAGGATTTCTTTAAAATGCAACAACTCTATCAAATAAACCGTTTCAATTTAATGGCAAGCGATAGAATACCATTGAATCGTTCTTTACCCGATGTAAGGAAAAAAAGGTGAGCCATAAATTGTAATATGTAATTGTATAATACTATCATTGTCTTTAAAATATTTTTATTTATTGTTAGATGTATTGCGAGGTATAAAGATGTAGTTGATCTTCCAAGAACGTCGATAATTATAGTATTTCATAATGAAGCGTGGAGTACGTTATTAAGGACAGTCCATAGTGTCATTATCAGATCGCCTAAAGAATTATTAGAAGAAATAATACTTGTTGATGACAACAGTGATAGAGGTAATAATTAAAAATGATCATTTTAAATATGCATGATAACATTTAACAAACATGTTTGTTACAGAGTTTTTAAAAAAATCATTGGACGAATACGTAAGCGGTTTAAGTGTTACAACGCGAGTACTTCGTTCAGTGAAACGAATAGGATTGGTAAATGCTAGACTTTTAGGAGCGAAGGAAGCTAAAGGTGAAGTTTTGACCTTTCTCGACGCCCATTGCGAGTGTACGGTTGGTAGGTAAGCTTTTGCATTTGATTGGGTTCGTTTTCAAAAGTTATTTAAATTACAATAATATAGTCTAATTAAATTATTTGATTTTTAGGATGGTTAGAGCCGTTATTGGAAGCAGTAACAAAAAATAGGACTCGCGTTGTGTCTCCTGTTATTGATATAATCAATGACGATACGTTCAGTTATACGCGGTATGTGTTTATCTATAAAAATCTATTAACAATTATTCTTACTAATTACTATTTACTTTTTATATAGATCATTAGAACTACATTGGGGTGCATTCAATTGGGATCTGCATTTCCGTTGGTTAGCATTGAACGGCCGATTATTGAAAGAAAGACGCAAGAACATGGTCGAACCCTTCAGAACACCCGCAATGGCTGGCGGATTATTTTCCATGAATAGAGATTATTTCTTTGAATTGGGCAGCTACGACGATCAAATGCAAATTTGGGGTGGAGAAAATTTAGAACTTTCGTTCCGTGTTTGGCAATGCGGCGGTAGTATAGAAATAGCACCATGTTCGCACGTTGGTCATCTTTTTCGAAAATCGTCACCCTACACGTTTCCTGGCGGTGTCGGTGAAATACTTTATGGAAATCTTGCCAGAGTGGCTTTGGTCTGGATGGACGAGTGGGCAGAATTTTATTTCAAATTTAATCCTGGTTAGTAATACAATTATATTTTATACATATATACGTAATTTTGTATATATATATTAATTGACAATTAATATTATTTTATAGAGGCAGCTAGATTGAGAGACAAACAACAAATTCGATCAAGATTAGCGTTGCGAAAAGAATTAAAATGTAAGAATTTTGAATGGTACTTGGATAACATTTGGCCCGAACATTTCTTTCCGAAGGATGATAGATTTTTTGGCAAGGTATTTTATCAGATTTTATTTACCCTTTCGTTATTAACGACTTATATATAGTATTTACAAGCGAATTTATATGGAAAAATAATACTTGTTTCATAACAAACCATAACGAAAAAGAATTAATTATTTATAATATATATTATTTGATGTACAATAAAAGAGAATTATTTTTTTTACGCAGATGGTACACGTAGCTACGAGGAAATGCATCATGCGTCCTCTGTCAAAAGCTTCGCATTCGCAGCCTTCGGCTTATGCCGTTCTTGAAACGTGCTTACAACGTTCGATACTTGCTCAAATGTTCGTTATGACTAAAACTGGCGTGGTAATGACGGACGAAAGCGTTTGCTTGGATGCACCTGAGCACGATACGTTACATACAAGGCCAAAAGTAAAGATAATGGCTTGTAATGGTCTCGACAAACAAAAATGGCGATACGATGAAAAGGTAAGAATATAATGAATAAACTATAATATATAATAATATTTAATTTCTTTTTTTTTTTATTTTTAATGTTAGAAATTATTTTAAAATTATTTAAAATATTAAAATTATTAATATAATGACAAGCACGCGGTAAACAAATAAATATAATTATTCTTAAAAAAATAATATTTTAATGTTATTTAAAATTGTTTTAAAATAACGCGCGTAACAAAATTTATATATTTTTAAATATTTTAAAATGATTTAGACTAGTAAATCATTGACCCGCATTAAATATAATGATTTATCCGTATTTCTTATTCTTATTAATTTTTATTTTATTGTTCAGAAAAGAATACTTTTACATACGTCTTCCGAAATGTGTCTTCAATACATGGCCGATACGAAGGAGGGTCTTGTAATTGCAGATTGTAATGGAAACATTGAACAACAATGGTCATTAGAATCCGTCCCGTGGAAATAATCAGTATTTTCGCACAAATTAATATTAAACAATGTATACTTTCTCTTCTAACCAAGGAATACTAACTTATATAAAAAATATACGAATCTTTGATAATATTTTTATTACATAACTTTTTTTTAAAGATTAACTTTTAAATTATCAACATAAGATTGAGAGACTTTCTTATAAGAAACAAAATGATTAAAAGGATTTTGATATTATTGGAATATATTTGCATACATCTTTTTACGATGATTATGTGACGACTTTATTGTTAAACAAATCGTTGACCATTTGTTGTATGTAATAAATCCCTTTATCCCTTCCCCCAAAATATGACGATTACCATTTACTCGAATGAATAAATTTATATCTTTTTTATTCATTTATATAAACCATTTAAATTCACTCCTACCAGTTATAATAAATTAGTCCGTTTCACGATAATACAGGGTTCTAAGTATCAAGGATAGAAACATGAAAGCGTGACGTTTACCATTTATAAGAAAACATAACATTTCCGTGTCATCGAGTCTCAATATCGCGTGAATCTCTCATCGATAACCAGACAAATGCGTCCGTGAGAAGAAGAAAGATAATTGTACTGCATCGAAGGTAGCAATTACAATGTCCTTTCGTATGAAAAAAAGCATCGCGTTTGCTTATATTGGGTCGGATAAAGAGTTTTCTCGAATTTTATCGATAAATGATTTCCTAATCGTATAACTTTGATAATAATTAATCAATCGTATCTATCTATCACACTTACGACAAAATTTTGTTTCATATTTGCATAAAAATACGAAGTAACTTATTCCCCGACCTAATATATTGTATATGCCTTATTAAAAGATTACTATAATTATTTCCATATCAGCCTGTTTATTATTATTATTATTATTATTTCTTAAAAATCTAAACACACGAATTTTCTTATCTTATTTTTATAATATTTAAAAGTACGTGGTGTTTAGAATGTGTGTGAAATGATATAGAATATTTTGTATTTTTTTGAAATTGTTAAATCAACAGGATTAAAGGGTAAATAAGAACAACTTAATTTATCGAAGGACAACTCACGAATTATCCTCGATGACATCGTTATCCTTCTCTAAAGGGGAATTGTTTAAACTTGATCTACTAATTAGATGAAATTTATTTGAACAAAAAGAAAAAGAAAAAGAAAAACAAAATAAGACGCAGCTGTGCGTGAGTGAGTTTTTCTCGTTTAAAAGAGGAAGAGGACATACTCTCTTAGCAAAGTTATTTTGAGATAGAAGATAGATGTTATTTTCAAAGCGATGCATTTACGTTAGTTAACGATCGTAATGGCGTTCCTCGATATCTGGGTCAAAGTCACGTCCTCGTCGAGGCCAAAGAGCCATTTAGCCCGAGGCCTATTTTCCCTGTCTCCGCGTAATTCCGATCACAACTTCGGACCAACTTTGGCAGAGATCCTTGCTCATCTCTCTAACGTTTTATAAGAAGATACTGGATGATTCATAAATTAATGATCATCATGTGTTATTAATATTTAAATACAATATTCATTATTCATCTATTATTGTATTTTCAATACAATAATTATTATATATTGTTAAGTTTTATTTGTAATAAAAAGAAAAGAAAAAAAAAAAAGACGTGGTGGTTATTATAATTATCGTTCAATTTGAACAAACAAAACTCATCAATACCAAAACTCGTATATTCTTTTATTTATTTATTTATTATTTATCGCAGTCATGTAAATTCATCTCCATTTATTAATGAAAACATGATGGTAACAAGGATACATATATATATATATATATAT